ACAAGTTCAACCAGAGCTTGTCAGGTGTCACCTTGCCAAGCACTCTGCAGACTTTGACCTTCGGCTGGGATTTCAACCAGAGCCTGGAAGGTGTCACTTTGCCAAGCAGCAGCTTGCAGAATTTGACCTTTTGTCCTGGCTTTGACCCTAGCTGTCTGGACTGTATCACTTTGCCAAGTGGCTTACGGAAGCTTTGCTTTCGGGAGTTCAATGTTCGAGTTTTTGAATAACAGCGATTTCCCTACTCGCACACGACACCACGGCCCAAGCTTCAGTAAGGAAGCATCCGGTTAGGCGTCACTGACGCCCCATCGCGTGAGCGGTAAGCATGATGCGCAAACCAGAATCACCTCGCAACGTGGAAGATCAGTAATGTAGTAACAAGTGCCACGCTAGTAGTAACAGGTGCCTTACTAGTAGTAACAAGAAGCTACTAGTAACAAGTGCATCGCTACTAGTAAGGAGGTGGTTATGGCGACTCACGCGTCCGGGCACCACCGTCGCTGGAACAGGGGCCTGATCTGATCATAATCTAGCAAGGACGCTACTAGGGGCTCCTGGCCTTACTACTAGGAACAAGGACGCTACTAAGGAACAAGGACGCTACTAGGGGCTCCTGGCCTTACTACTAGGAGCAAAGACACTACTAGGGGCTCCTGGCATCATGTTGTATAGGGGCCTGGCCCGGGAGCACGTTCGAAAGAAATTGTGACACCGACCGGGGATATCATCTATCTTCCCGTCCTCATCAATCACAAACCTTAATGTAATAATCCTATAGGGCAATTACGGATGAAGAACTTTTGGATTGCTCGGTTTCGTTCCGATTATGGAGTAGAACTCAGAGCCCCCATTTTGTTCTTTGCGGAGTAAGGATTAAGAACTTTGGGTATAGACATTGTTGGTGGCTCTCCTCCATGGTCGCCAGCTTGTGATTTTGGCCGAGTGTAGATCCAAATGCACTGCAAATCCAGCACCCCAAACTCAGTGGAGTTTGGATGGGTTGCTTCCAAATCGGGGTTGTATAATTTGTGTCCCAAAGGAAGGAATTAGCATGGATGGTGCACAATCTCCTCACATATATGTTGAGAAGTATGTTGAGACTCAAACTTTGTCAACACAAACACTCGGCCGCTTTTGCCTCCATGGCCTGACATGGCCCGACTGTTCCTCAGGCCGGAAGGATGGCTCTTTGCTTCGAAAGAGTGAAGGGAATTTGAGCCTCTCCGCTCTCGAGCGGAAGCCCCTCGACTGGATCGGGGCTCGGCTTCGGTGGCTTCGGTGGATCGGTGGTGAACTGACAGTTCACGTCGGCACCGCGAAAAGGACTTTTCATGGAGTGTCCAGGGACATCCAGGGATAGGGTGAGGAATGGCACCATCACTCTAGTTCGACCCCACAAGAAACCCTCAAGCAAGGCGTGGGATGGACATGGATGTCCCATACCATACCATACTGAGAATCAAACATCGATCCTCCCCAGAAAGCATGAGGGTTCCCACAGGTTCCCATTACCTCCGGGTCGGACTTCAGTCCCCGGATGCAGCTGGCTCCACAGGGGAAGAATACAACAGATGAAACAATTAAATTGGACGCTACTAGGGGCTCCTGGCCTTACTACTAGGAGCAAGAAGCAAGAAGCTACTAGGAACAAGAGCATCGCTACTAGGAGCAAGGACGCTACAAGGGAAGAAGAAACAAACAATTAAATTGGACGACATTGGTTCCTTTGAGATTCTCAGTGCAGTTCAAGCTGGGCTCCAGGATTCAAAGGAGCAGAACTTGGCCCCTTGTGTCCGATGTCAAGGTCGACTTGTTGTCTTTCTTGCAATTTTTCGTTTTTCTTTGGTTCCAAAGTCCAAGCACAAGCAGGAGCATGCCAGAACGCCTCTAAAACCAACCGCAGTGCCCATGCCGGAACGCAACACCTCCATGAACATGTGTCCAGACGCGACTGGGGGGCACTGGGGGGTTCTCTCAGAACAAAAACAAAACGTACACACGCAGACAGCATAGGCTCCATAGGCTCCGGCTCCATATTCATCCAGCATCTTCTTGGGGTTCCGAAACCCAGGAGCGATTGGACGCTACGAACGGGGCTCCTGGCATCGCTACTAGGAGCATTCTTACTACAGTACCAAGAAGCTACGTTCGGGGCTCCTGGCCTTACTCCTAGGAGCAAGAAGCTACTAGGAACAAGAGCATCACTAGGAACGGAGCGATCGAGACGCGTAGCGAACGTAGCGTTGGATCCGTCAGGTTGGTGGGTGACCGGGACAAGGAGGGCCGCGATGCGGGGCAGCCCTGTGCAATTTGGCTGTCGGGAGCCCCGGTGGAACCGTTAGGACCCGGTGGATTGTCCTGACGTGTTTATTTCGATACTATGGTACTATAGTGTTTGTTAATGTGTATATATACACCAGCTTCTTCAAAGTGACCTTGTGAAGGTTCCTAAGTGACCCTTAGGAGGCTTAAGTGACCTCAAACCAGGTTATCAAAAGGTCACTTTGAAGAACCAGGCATATATCTGTAATAGGTATTTTTTGGACCAAACCAGTGAAGCAGGATGTGATCCTTGTTTGGATTGGGCATGTTGACCGTAGCCAACAGCAATCCTTCAGCTTTCAAACCTGATCGATAACTGAACATCCGCTGGATCGAGGTTTGTTCCAGTTCGTTAGCTTTTCGGCAGTTTGAGGTCTCCGGTCGCTTCACTCAAAATGTGTTGCTTGCTTTGTGTACAAAATTGTCAGGATCGGTATTTTTGACATACAGGTGTTGACTTCAAAAGGAACCAGAGTGGTTCGCTCTAAGGCTAGAGCTTCAATATGCCCTCAAATCGTGTGGAACCAAAGACCGTCATCACCCGAACTCGTCATCGCTCCACTGGGCAAATCATCGCTGCGACTGACTTCGGACCAGTCAGGAGGGGGCGGAGCCTCGTCTGTACACGCGGAATTTCCCTCGAATGTACACGCGGAGAATTGATCTCGTTTGTGCACGCGAAACTCGGATGTGCACGCGGCTTCCTCGGCTGTACACGCGGCTTACACGGCTGAAAAAATGAATGAATGAATGAATGAATGAATGAATGAATGGAACCCGACCAGATTGTTTCACAATCTGAACCTTGTTGTCTCATTTTACGTCCATCGCTTTAGATGCGGTGTTTGGGCTGTCAGATCCGTGGACGGGCACAGCGCGCAGACATGCGAGCTTTCATGCGGAACATGTGTCGTTACCAACATCATCAATCAAACGCAGAGCGTCTGTGTGACGTGAACCTGTGGAAGCAATGAGCAAAAAGAGATCATCATGTAGATGAATGTCCAGAGGGACGTTATTAACACATCATCAATCAAACGAAGCAATGAGCAAAAAGAGATCATCATGACTCAATTTGTGTGTGCGCAAATGAGGCGAATCATGTGTGCGCATTTGAGTTTGGGGTAACATGGGCTGTTTAAAGAGGAATGTAATCGATGTGTGCGCAGATGAGGCGAACCATGTGTGCGCATTTGAGTTAAATATATAAAAAAGTCTGTGTGCGGATTTGAGGGGAATTATGTGTGCGCAAGTGAGGCGCCATCCGTCAGGAGGTCCTTGCACTACACTCCATAACCAGGTTGGACATGAAGTGGGAGACCAAGGACGGCAGTCGCGAGCTGTACAGCTCTTTGGTAGCGAGCAGGACAATACAACGCCCCTTTGGCCTTTGGACCTTCAAATTCGATCCTGTTGAGTCATCACAAAGAAAACCTTGATCGCCATGTTGAGATCAGAAGGTAATTCATCAAGCCCTAAAAACATCGCCACACAATGACACCATGCTGCCATATATATTACATACATACATACATACATACCATACCATACCATGCCATACCATAACATAACATTACATTACATTACCATACATACATACATACATGCTTGGGGAGATTTCAGGTTCAACTTCTTTTGGATTTGTAAAGGAAAGAACAGCTGGAAAACTGTGGCCTGCTGCAGACAATGCTGTCGTACCCAGGCCGATGGCCTCGCAATTCCCTGAGGCGGGGGAGTGGGGCGACCAGAAACCACGGGGGCGGCATATTTGGGTACATGGGCACCTTGTTACAGGCACCTTGTTACTAGAAGCGATGCACTTGTTCCTAATAGCTTCTTGTTACTACTAGTAAGGCACCTGTTACTAGAAGCGATGCACTAGTAGTAACGGGTGTCAGCAATAAGTTCCAGTTCCATGGAGTGGGACTGGAGTCAAACCATATCATCTATAGTTCTGCACTGCATGTGTCCGAAGCTGGGTTGCTTGCAGATGAATCGAACACCTGGAACATGTGCAAAGCACCTTTGGAAGACACTATAGTTAGTGGCCTCTATGGTTTCGCTAGACAGTTCTACTTTGGATGGATAAGATCACTTCTCATTAGAAGGGCAGAATCCCAACATGGAGGTGGATCGAGATGCTAAGCCAAAGTTGCCTTATTTGGGGAGAACACACATCAATCAGATCAACGTGTTCATTTTCAATGCTTCCTGTGAGGTGATGCTTCAACTTTCAAGTAATTGGACGTCGTGGATGCGCGTATTTGACATGTTCTGTAATTGTGTGTAAGCATTTTCTTTTCCGGACTAGGCCTGCAGGCCTGCTTGAAATTCTGGTTTTCACGTTTGGTATGCAATGCCACTTACGTGTCATCCTTACATATCATCAAAAAGCACCCTGATCCTGTCCTTCACAGCCGCTGAGTTCCCTGTTTGGCGGAGCTGTTGTGGGAATCATTTTGGGAAGCAGCCGGTGACCTCGCGCAGTTTCACACGTTTTTTGGAAGACTGGACTGCAACAACGCCGAGTGGATTGAATCGTGACCTGGAGGGACTGAGGACGGCGGTTTCACAGCGGTTCAGCATGGTGGCGCGGGTTCCCACGACAGACCTCGTGTCTCTCCTGGATGCCCTTGAGAGAGTTAGTCCTGAAAGTCTAGGCGATGCGTCAGAAGGGTGTCCTTGTTTTGTGTTTTGTTGCAAGACTGATGGGGTCGAGGACAGCATATCGTTCGTTGATGCGGAGAAGCACCATAAGGTTGTTGCACAGCCAGTGCAGTAAATTTCACAGACAGTTCAACAGAATGAACATTTCAACCAATTTTGACTGGCTACAACGCGTTGGTATTTGGCCCTCTTGAGCCAACATTACCAGGCTTCTTGCAACCTGCGCAACAGAAAACAC